AGGAAGGAAGGAAGGAAGGAAGGAAGGATTTTGTTTTCCATTTAATTTAGGTCGCTTGGACCATCAAAGAATAATTCCCTTTTCAGGGAACTGTTTGTTTGTGACACATATCTGGACAATCTGTTCACCTGGTATCTATTCACTTATAGCACAATGTGTTCTGATCAAGAACAAGCTCATTTCGTCAGATTCATGTACAAATAGGAAGACGTGCTTCAAGCTATTAAAGAAGAAAACAACTCCTATTTTGTGGACAGCTCACTCCCCATAAGCTTACAATTCAGTGTGATCCATACTCTGTAGAGATGGAGAAATCAATAAAATGACCACTCTTGTTTCTGAAAGATAATTCAGGGCAGGGGGGGTGGTTCTAGCCACTACAGCTGTATCATAATGGAGTCTTGATGGGTCTGTGAAATTGGAAGCTGATCTGGGCAAAAATGCAATTGCTCCTAAAGATCCTCTTCCTGAGATTCAGAGCTCAGATTCCTCAATGAAGTTTATTGGCATTATTTTTAAAGCTTATCTAGCTATAGGTTTACTTATTTTCTACTGTACTTGATGTCTGTACTTTAAACAGTCTTACAATTTCTTTGCTTTCCATGGTCACTAGGGGAGGTAGAAATCTAGATCGTCACCATCCAGCAGCCCTGAAAGAAATATCCTGTTTTTTTCTCTTCTTCCCAGTAGTCCTGTTCAGAATTATCCTGTAGCAGGAATTCAGCCATCTGAAGCAGCATTACTTGGAGGGAATGGGAAACTTCATGGCTTCTCTCTCTCCCAACTCTGTTGCTCTAGATTACATCAAGCTAGTAGTTTTGTGCAAGGTCACTGGGAGAAAGAACTCTAGACTCACATTCATAGCAGCAATTTTGACTGCACAATGAATAATGGAGACAGAATGCATACTTATGCTGGTGCACTTGAGCCACACCTCTTGGGTGAAAAATGTTGCCTGCTCAAGATTTTCAGTCTTGATCCAAATAGACCTCCCAGGCTTGTTCTTAGATAACCTGAATATAGTAATGACAGTGACACTAAGGAAACCCACTTGTATTTGGTTTTTTCCCTCTGGCAGATCTTTGTTCGCAGTACAGATTTTGATCGGACCTTGATGAGCGCCGAGGCAAATCTGGCAGGACTGTATCCTCCAGAAGGGCAGCAAGTGTTTAACCCCAATATTTCTTGGCAGCCTATCCCTGTACACACTGTACCTGACCACATGGAGCAGGTGAGTCACTTTAACAGGTCAATGCTGGAAGACTGGATCTGCTTCTATCAAAAAAATCTCTCTTTAATACTTTTTTTTCTTCTACCTTGAGCTCCACCCTTCTGCTTTTTCACTTTAATTTCCAGACATTGTACGAGAGTTGTGAGGTGCAGTGGCATCTGATGAAGCCAACTGCAGTTCACAAAGCTTATGCCGTATTATAAAAGCTGTTAGTCTTAAAAGGGGCCACCAGACACTGATTTTTAGTTCCCAGAGATTTCTTAGCTAAAAGAAATTGCTTAGTATAGGTAGCTCATAACGAAGCCGATTGCCATGAGTTTAGTGATCATAAAGAGGGATTTGTGCTCAAATTACCTTTTTAAATCTAATATCGATGTTGGCTCTTTCCAGCTCCTGAGGTTTCCATTATCTCCCTGTCCCCGTTATGAGCAACTGCAAAATGAGACCAGGCAGACACCAGAGTATATAAATAAGACCATCCAGAATATGGTATATCGCTTTTTATATATTTTATAGATTGAATATTTTTTTTAATTTTCTTTAAAAATTGATGGTGATGGAAAAAAGAAGAGGTTAATTTCTTTTTTTACTTCTGCAGCAATTCTTGAAGATGGTGGCAAACATGACAGGAATTCAGGATGTTTCCCTTGAGTCTGTCTGGAGTGTGTACGATGCACTCTTCTGTGAGGTAAGAAATATAGATTAGTCTGTTATAGATTAGTCATTTGCTTTCAATGCTTTTTAAAATTATTGCCTTAGTAGTGTTTGAAGCTACCAATGTTCTTACTCAAGAGTTACATTACAGACTGATGGAGAATGTTCATGACACAGTTGTGTTGGGCAGAAATACTTCTGTTATTACTTAAAAGTCTTACTATTGTATATCATGCCCACGATAGCCATATAATAAGAAAGGTTTTTGAAAGTGAATGCTCCTTGCTTCTGAAGGGTATGTATGCATGGGTGTATTTTTATCGATCCCCCTTCAGACAATCTACTTTGAAGAGTTAAGAGACCCTCTGACATTGGTGGTGCAAGGGAAAACACACAATACTACCTTTCCCTTTCATGCTGCTTCTGTTCTATCAGAAGAACTGCAAACTGGCCACAGAAATAAACCAGAAATATATAAATACATTGTTCCAAACTTTCTAACTCTAGCATAGCCTTTCCCTATCTCGTGATCTTCTAATGTGGATTTTAATAAAATCTGCAATGATAAAGGCTGTGATGACTGAGGTCCAGAATGGGAAAGGCTTCCCTATCCAAATTGTATTCCGGTAAAACATTTGTTTATTCTTCTTCCATAAAAGCGAATTACTTCTATTCCTATAGGCTTTACCATTGTGATATAGACAAACCTTGTTATCCACATTCTTATTGACAGGTACATTGTCTGATATTAGTATCTATAAATAATGTAGAAAGAGGTATCATCATTCACTCACACAAATGCCCCAATCTGTGCAACAGAAAAAAATCCTCCTCCAGTCATACATCAGATTAGGAGAAATCTTAGTCACATTGTTTCAGAAACCACCAAATATGATTTTTGATTTTATGGAGTTGGTAATGTGGAAAAAATCCAAATTCTAGTTGGTGAACAGTGATAATGATAAGTGGAGATATTAGTCCACAAATTAGAATGGTAAATTGATGAAAATCTGGGTTGAATCTGATACATGACCCTAAACTGATAGGTCCCTTTGGAAAAAATCCAAATTCTAGTTGGTGAACAGTGATAATGATAAGTGGAGATATTAGTCCACAAATTAGAATGGTAAATTGATGAAAATCTGGGTTGAATCTGATACATGACCCTAAACTGATAGGTCCCTTTTACACTGGCCAATAGAAATGAGGTTACAATCTGCATTTGATATTTGTCAGCAGTAACATTGCATCACATCACATTTTAATCTTAAACCCAATTCCATATTCCCAGTATCATTCTGCTGCTCATGTTCACACAATAATTTGAGGGATGCCAAATCACAGACATGTTACTTCAGTGACTTCTCAGTAGTATATGTGACCCAACATATATGCTGCTAGAGAAAATATATAATCTGTCATATTATTTCAAACAATGCTAGACATCTTCTGTCTAACAACATTTGCAGAATGGAGATGATTGAGATCATGCAGAAGTTTCCTTATGGTAACAAGAACATTAATACCAGTTTGACCTCTGTTAAAGAATAACTATAGCAGACGTGACTGAGGAACCCCACAGAGGATATGGGTATTAATACCAAGGAAAAACTCTTTGCTTGAAAGTGGAAGAATGGCTGATTTGGAAGGTCCTAAATCACCTCTGTACCCAGTCAATAGATCAAGAGTGTGGTCATGAAGACTATTCAACTACATCAGAGACCTGTTCTTTTATGAGATACTGTACAGAACAACAGTATCTGTTACTTTGTTCTCTGTTGGGGAACAACAAAGAACTCCTGGTGCTACTTCACAAGTATTGAAATTAATATAACAGTAGAAAAAATATGATGTGGTGAATGGATACAAGAGGACAAGCTTAAATAATGGGTGGGGTTCTAGAATAGGTTTGCCTAGATGTGTCCTTCTGTTGATAAATAAATTTCCCTCTATCTGCTGACTTTCAGGAAAAAAAAAAAATCTTTCATTATCAAACTACTTTGCTAGCTCAAACCAATAGTATCACATAAGTATCATACTATTACTATTAACAAATTAGCCAAGTTTTTAAAATACTTTCATAGATTTCAGCAAGGTATCTGAATTATGTTCTTAAAAGTGAGCCCTCCCAAATGGCTTTGAATGCAACATAAGGAAAACCACACTGAAAAGTGGTGTATTGAAAGCTTTAGAATGGACTTCTGCTCATAGCTGATGTTAAGCCTATCAAAAACAGTTAAGCCCTGTTAAATTCTTAAAATGTTTACCAAAATGGTTTTCCTGCTGAAAGACTAGCAGGTAGGTCATCAATTTAGAATTTTCATAGTCAATGTGAAAGAAACATTTCAGACTTGAAAGTCTATAACCCTGTGTAAAAACACGTCAACATTAAATAATTTGAGTATTAGGGCTATTATAAATATTTGGTGAAAAATGGATGTACCACTTAATAATTACCAAATGCTGTTGGTTTTGTACATTATTCCTCTCTTTCTCCCTACCACTCCAAAATTATATTAAGCTGCAAACAGGCTCTAGATAAAATGATATAGCTCTGAGATTTTAGGAATATTCACATGCATTCTCCAAAGGTGAACCACCTTTTTCTTGTGGTATCTTTCTAGAAAACGCACAAAATGCATCTTCCAGCATGGGTAACTCCTGTGGTGATGACCAAACTGAAGCAGTTAAAAGATTTCAGTTTTAATTTCCTTTTTGGGATCCATAGACGAGTGGAGAAAGCTCGTCTGCAGGGTGGTAAGTAAAGAAGAAATGTTAATTCAAATACTACCTTGGGGAGCCTCTGTAAAAGATTAGGATCTAGTATTTTTTCCTTTCTGCAGGAGTTCTTCTGTCTCAAATAAGAAAGAATCTTACCTTAGCTTCAAAAGTCTCAGAATCTCACCACCTTAAAATGCTTATGTACTCAGCGGTAAGTTTGACATGTTAAGTGAGCTGCCTAGTTTCCTGATCTTACCCTCCCTTGTCATTGCAGATGCAAAGAACAGATCCCCATAGCTGTCAGCGTCTTCCCTTCTGCAATACACTACCAAATACTCTTCATTGTAAGAGCAAATACCAACTATTAACCTATGGTTCTAGAATCCCTTTTGTCTTTGTCCTACTGTAGTTCAGGAACTTTGTTCACCTTGAAAATGTGTTTTAGCTCTTCTTCCATGCACAGTAAGGGGAGATTCACACATTCCTTCTTTCCTCAGCATGACACCACTCTTGCGGCACTGCAGACAGCTCTGAATGTTTACAACGGGAGACAAGCACCATATGCTTCGTGTCATATATTTGAACTGTACCAAGAAGATGATGGGTGAGGGTTTTGCTCGGGATATCAAAGGGATATAAGTACTCAAAGGCAGTTGTTGAGTGCTGAACTTTAACTTTCAGAAAATATTCAGAAAAGACAAATGAGTTTAAAAAAGAATTACAATCTTGACAGCAATCCATAGTTACCTTTTCCAATCTGTTGAGAACAATTATTGCTCTAGATATAGTAAAGGTTATTTTCTACCAATACTAATTAGCTTTGATGTGAATATGAGATAATAGGCAGAAATATATGCAATTACTTTGATATGTTTATGGACTTGATACTTAATAATAAAGTATTTCCACTTCTGTTATTGCCTTGACATGATAGCCTGTGATCTGATACAGATGAAAATATACCAGAGAAATTGCTCAGTTGCAATAAGGATAGTATTCCTTCCTGTTGTTTCCAAGCAGGGAGGCACAGGCCAACATTTGTGGATTTCTAGCATTACAAAGGAGGAGGTTAAAAGGCTGGACAGAAGTTGCATACTTCAGTGCTTGATTCCCATAGAAAATATGTAAAACAGCTGATGAATCATTAATACCTATTTCTATCATACCTGTTTTGCTCCCAGTAACTTTTCAGTGGAGATGTTCTTTCGGAATGAGAGCAAGGAGGAGCCTTATACATTGCAGCTGCCCAACTGTGAACGACGCTGCCCCCTGCTGCAATTCCTGCAACTCACAGAGCCTGTTATTTCACAGGACTGGAAACAGGAATGTCAGATAGTAAGCACAATGGAAGACACAGGTGAGTGAGACTGGATGAATCAGAAGGAAGATTCATGTAAGATTTAACATTATAATCAGGATGGGTTTTGTTTCATTCTTTTGCAGAACTTATTGTGACTTTGGCTGTCTGTGGATCTCTCCTCTTCTTACTTACCATTCTGCTCCTGACTGTACTATTCCGTGTAAAGTCCCGGCCTCTTGGCTACAGACATGTTTCCAATGAAGGAGAGGAACAGCCTTGACAATTGCTTCAGCCCCTCCTGATGCAGCAAGAGGAATCAGCGCTGATCTCAGGGACAGATGGGGCTTCACATCTTACTGACTGATTTTGATCACTGCTTCTAAAGCAGAAGATCAGGGTTGACAATGCAGGTGTTACAACTAGCAGATGCATTCTATCTACCACAGCATAATGCAGTCAATCACTAGGAGTAAAATGCCAGCATGGTCTTGGATCGCTGTTTCTCAATGTGTGACTAGTTCAACAAGGCAGATATGTTTTTCTTCTCTGAACTCAATATACTATCTGTATGTTTAAAATGTTTAAAACTGGTACAGAGAAGTGGCCCACTGCTCCTTAAAAAGCCTTGTTCAGTCTAGTAGTTGCCACTTGTAAATCTCTTCCACACTGTGATGGTGGCATCATACGAAACCAGCAATAACCGATCGCTTCAACTGAGTCAGTGATTGGGAACCAAATGATGGTCTCCATTGCAGAAAACAGTCATAGGATGAAACCTTGAATTCACTCAGTAGAAACTGCCATAATGGGATTTACTTCCAAGTTAACATGCATAAAATTGTGCTATAAGTACTTTACTCTTAGTCTTTAGATACTCAGAGATAGAACATTAGGATTAGATTCCTCCCCGCCCTCTGTAATGGGAAAGAGGATGCTCAAATACATGCATTCAAGCCATTATTTACAAACCTATGATACATAATGCACAATATTCTGGACCAGAAAAATGTTAAAAGAATATGTGCTTTAAAAACACACTTAGACATTCAAAAGTCTTATATCAAATACCTGTGGTAGAAATAGTTATGCCTCTGGATTTACATTCCTAAACTTTATTTTGAAATATGCTGCTGAAGTTAAAGACCAGATACTGTAAGTGAGCAGATTTGGGAGATCAACAGGTCCCAAATCATCCCTTGAGTGCCCATTTCATTCCACTGATGCTGGTGCCACAAATTTTCTCTTGGCTCTCGCTTAAACGCTTTTCCTTTTCCCCCGTTTTTTCATTGCCCTTCACTAATTGCACTTCACCTCAAATTGTATACTCCTGCATTACACAATACAACACAGCACATTTCTCTCCATGAGGAGAAAAATATTACATGTACTACCTCATCAGAAATATATATGGCATGTAAAAATCACAAAGGCAGAGGCTCTACTATAGTAAATTCAAAGATTCACTCACAAAGGTGTATAGCCAATTTCTTAACTATAATCAAAATGCTAGCTCACATTTCAGAAAAAATAGTGCCTTCTTTAGGCCTGAATTCTGTATGATCAGAAGTGTTTCTGAACATGTGCAATGTGTTTCCTTCATCCTTGAATAAATATAGTTTAACTGAAGATAAGAATCCATGGCTTAATTGCCATATAGGCCAGAAAACCAGCACTTTTTTAATTAAAAAAAACCTTCTAATTTATTGCTCCAAGCTTTCTAACAAGTTCCACAAAAAATCCTCTTTTTTATATTTCCAAGCAGGGCAATATTCTACCATATGGATACTCTTTTATCTTCACCTGAAGCTCAGCCGATCAATTCATTTGCCATATCAGGACAGGTCCCTTGTCTTCCCACCCTTTAAAAAAAAAAAGAGAGAGAGAGATCCACTTTGTTTTTCCTTAAAACAGATTTCTTAAGAAGAGCTATAATGGCTGCTGACCATAATAAATACATCTAAGTATCTAAAAAGGCCAGGAGATAGTAAGTAAAAATTTCAATAGTATGTTTGCTTTTCCTGGGCTAAAACAGTAGCAATTCTACTCAAAGGAGACACTGAAAAGTCCAGCCTAGTCATTACAAAACATTTCACATGTTACATTTCCTCTAAAGACACAGTAGTATCCTGTTGCCAAAAAGTACAGAGTACAATTTGCCAGAAAGTTAACCAATTCCATCTGAAGTTGTCTTTCTCTATTTTTCTATTGAACACTAACTGTATGATATGTCTCCTGCAGGGCAGGATGGAAGACAGAGCCAAGAGAAATTCAGATAAATCGCTTCCAGAAATGAGTCAAGTCAGTTAATATGCCAATTTCTTGTAGGCTAAGTTCTAAACAAAATGAGAAATAATCAGCTTTGGTACAAAATGAAGAAAAACTATGATTTATTCCTTGAGACTGAATGTTGCTGTAATTCACTTGATCACTTTCTTAGTCTTTTCATTAAAAACCAAGGTGGGACTGGATTTTTGCTCTATCTTTGCTTTTCTCTTTTCTTCTCTTGCTCTTTGCACATGTCTAGCAGCTGGACCACAAGAAGAGATATACAATCCATTGCACCATAACAACTTTTTGCATCAAAGTTAAGGCTAATTATAGTTAGGGAATCTGACATGGGAACATCTTCCCAATAAATAATCCAATCTCTGTCTAGATTTTTTAGGTATTAAAGGGAGTGGTTTTATTTTCTATTGCCCTAGAGGCAGGACCAGAACAGTAGGTTAAAACTACAAGGATGGAGGGTCAGACTAGACATCAAGAACTTCCTGACTGTATGTGCTATCAGCCAGCGGAACAGACCGCCACATGATATGGTGAGTTTTCTGAGGCTAATGGTAAACTCTTACAGATGCTCTAGTGTATCCTGCAGTGAGTAAGGGGTGGCATTAGATGATCTTTATGGTCACTTCCAATTATATGATTCAATTATACTGATGTATAGGGATAGAGCTCTCTATCCCTATACATTTATATATGGTGTGGAATTCATATCTTGAAATCCTTCTTTAAAGAAAGCAGGATCAAGTTTTAAAAAGGATGAAGGGAAGAGGTAGGATGAGTGGAGCAAGATATCAACCGAGCACTAAGTTGAAAGTTCTCAACTTTTATTTATTTATTTATACAATTTCTATAGCCACCCATCTCAATCCAAGTGACTCTGTGTGGTGAATAACCTCAAGAATTAAAACCATTAAAACCATTACAAATTATACATATAGGCAGCCAAGAATTATCATAAAAATTACATAAAAATCAACAGTGCAACCAGGTAATGGGGCCCTTAACCCTTTTGGGACCCCAGGCTCGGACACACAGCCAGGTTTTTAACACCTCATGAAAAGCTAGCAGAATTGGGGCCATCCTGAGCGCCAAAGGAAGAACGTTCCAAAGGGCAGGGGCTACTGTGTGTTTCTGGGTGCAATTCAAGGTGCTTGCTTGAGGCGACACCAAAAAGCTTCACAGCAAGTGTCTGTCTGCGACCGCAATCTCATCTAGAGGAAGTCACGACCACGTGTCAGAGCAGGGAAGATGGCCAGAGATCATGTTTGTCACCCGATGTGGAGTTCACGAACACAAGCAAAAATGTGCAAACACTGCTGTTCGCGAACCGAATTGTTCATGAACAGAAGTGTTTGTGAACCGAGGTATTACTGTATTGGGAGAAGATGGTCCCTTAGGTAATTGGGTCCCAAGCCATGCAGGGCTTTAAAGGTGACAGCCAGCACCTTGAACTGCACCCAGAAACACACCAGTAACCAACACAGCTCCCATAGTAGTGGTGTTACATGTGCCGTATATCCAGCACCATTTATTACCCATGCAGCTGCATTTTGCACCAGCTGAAGCTTCCAAATGCTCTTCAAGGGCAGCCCCATGTAGAGTGCATTGCAGTAATCCAAACAGGAGGTAACAAGGGCATGAGTGACTGTGAGAGCCTCCCAGTCCAGGAATGGGTGCAACTGGCACACAACTTGGTGTGCAAAGGCCCTCTTAGCCACAGCTGCCATCTGCTCCTCAAGCAGGAACTGCAAGTCCAAGAGGACCCCCCGATTGCACACCGGATATGTCTGTCAGTGCTACCCTATCCAATACCAAAGATGGAAAAACCTTGTCCTTAGGAGGACCAAATACTCAGAGCCACTTGGTCTTGCTTGGATCAAGTCGGAGCCCATTGCACTCCATCCAGGTCTCTATGGCCTCCAGAAACTGGGATAGGACATCCATGGCATCACTCAATGGGCCTGGGGTGGAGATATATAACTGGGTATCATCTGCATATTGATGGTACCTCAACCCAAACCATCAGATCACCTTACCCAGTGGCTTCGTGTAGATGTTTATATAATTATATGTTATGAGAGGAGAGAGTATGGAGCCCCGAGGTACTCCACACAAGGGCCATGGGCTGGATCTCTCCCTATCAACACTGACTGAAATTGACCCCGGAAGAAAGAGGAAAACCAGGACAGCACAGTGCTGCCTATTTCCAACTCCCGAACCCATTCAGAAGGATACTATGATCGATGGTATTGAATGCTGCTGAGAGGTCAAGAAGAGCAAAGATGAATGCACTACCCCCATCCTGTTCCTGCCAGAGGTCACCCAAGAGTGCGATCAATGGCATTTCCGTTCCAAATCCTGGCTTGAACCCTGACCGAAAGGGGCCCAGGTAATCCGCTTCATCTAGAGTCCTGTGCGACTGCCACGCTACCACTCTCTCCACCACCTTCCCTTAGAAAGGGGAGGTTGGAAATTGGATGAAAAGTTGTCCAGATCAGTTGTGTTGAGCGAAGGCCCCTTGAGGGGGCGCAACACCACCTCCTCAAGAGCTGGTGGAACCAGTCCCTCCTTTAATAATGAATTGACCATAACCCATACCCAACCATGCATCCCCTACCGTGCAGCTTTAACAAGCCAGGAGGAGCACAGATCTTACAAGTGGCCAAGGTAGCAGCTGTAAGGACCCTATGCACATCCTCAGGCTCAATGGACTCAAACTGCCCCCAGATAACGAACCAGACAAAGCCCCCATAACCTCCACCTGATCTGCCCCAAGGCTGGGTTCCAGTATAGAGTGAATGCAAGTGATTTTATCCAGCAGATGTCCAACATATTCTTCATAATGATCTCATAGGTGAACTTCAGTATTATTCATCCGGAATAGGTCACTGGGCGACTATCTGCAGACGCAATAAAGGCAGAGAAATAATTACAATTCGCCGCCCTTACCGCCACGAGGTAGGCCCTAACAGCGGTTCCAGCTTGTGTTCAGTCATCTTCCTTGTCTTCCGCCAGCAGTGCTCTAGGTGTTTCTTAGCTCTTTTTAGCTCCGTCACTTCTTCCATATACCATGTAGAACTGCGAGAGCCATGGGTGCAGAGAGGATGCTCAGGCACAATCCGATCCAAAGCTACTTTATCATTCCAAGCAGCTACCAGTGCTTTGGTTGAACCAAGTAGACGACTTTCTGGAACAACCCCAAGCTCCCTCTGGAACCCAACTGGGTCCATTAGTCACCTGGTGGGCCGTTTGAATAGGCCCAACCTCCCTGCGGAGAGGGGTGGCATCAGAGAATTGGAAGCTCACCAGGGAGTGATCTGACCATGGCAGGGGAGAAACTAATATCTCCTCCAGTTTCAGAGCACCATGCCATTGCTCCGACAGAAAAAACAGGTCAAGTGTATTACCGCTGTTATGTGTTGGGCCTTTGATGACCTAGGACAGGCCCATGGCTGCCATAGTAGCCATGAACTCCCGAGCCATCTCTGACCCCACACCCAGGGAAGGCAGATTAAAGTCCCCCAAGACTATAAGCCTGGGGAACCTCACCGCTAGCTCAGCCACGAAGTTGAGAAGCTCAGGCAGGGAGGTTGCTATGCAGCATGGAGGCTGGTACACTAGCAACAGTCCCAACTGATCCCTATTAATGCCCAACTTGATAAATAATGTCTCACACCCAATAATCTGAGGAGCAAGGCCCATGGATGCTTCCCAAGCTTCTCAGATGACCACTACCACCCCATCTCCCCTACCCTGGGGTCTTGGCTGGTGCTACATCCAGAAACCAACTGGGAACATCTTAGAGAAGGGAACCCCCCTCCTGTCCCAGCCAAGTCTCAGTAATACATGCCAGATCAACTTTTCATTGACAATTAAGTTGTGAATTAAGATGGCTTTATTACATACTGATCTGGCATTCAGCAGCAGCAGCTGACAACCTAGGGCCTTGAAAGTCTGCCAGACAGAGCCTGGGAGTGAGTTCAGGAAGCCAGAAGGAGCCACAGGAACAATATACCTGTGGTCTGATCCCCGTGAGCGGCCCGCTTCTTGTCTCCTGTCGTATCTCCCACTATCTGTCAATAGTGAAATTTTGAAACCTGCCCTCATCTATATAGGTCCATGCCCCAGACAGCTGTCCTCCTTACTCATACACACAATCCAGCTACCACCCAACCAGGGATTCTTAATATCAGAGACACTTCTGCCTAGCACTCAGCACCTCTGAACAGTTAAGAACCCACTTTACTCATTCCAATATCAGTCTTGCAATACCTCCAGCTAGTCTCCTCTCACTAGATTGCTGCAGTATAACCAACCAGTTCAGAGATTCAAAAACCTCCCTCCCATGTTTGTCTATCCTATTGTTATACTTGGATTTCAGGACACTAATGAATTACCATTAATAATCACTAATAATCACCATTAACCACCAATTTCAAATATCCAGAATATTTTTTCCCTTCCATTCTATAGATCTCTAAAGGCAGGAAAAATCACTCTAAAGGGCCAGGCTCCCCAAAATAAAAGTCTGATCATTCATTCTAATCAGATCATTTTTTTTCATTAAGCTTCTTAGATCTATTTTTTGAACAGGCTTATGTCCCATCTATTTTGCCTTTTCAAGAAGCATCTTAGCTTCTCTGGTATAACAAAAGAATTACTGCATACAAAATTTTATTAAACATCTTATTATTTTGAACAAAAGAATGCAATAAGTAAATCACAGTAACAACTGCTGCAATGTAAGGTACCTATAGCCAGTTGCCTTGGCCTCAAACAGCTTCTTTGTACCTCTATATATCTTTATTTAAGCTCTAGGCAGTTTTACAATCTCAGCAAATGCAAATACCTGTGCATTAAAGAGCTGCCTGAAAACAGAAAGAAATTGTGGAAAAGTATGTTCCTCCTTAAAACAAAAATGTTCTTATTTTGAGTGAGGGTAGGACAAACATAGGTTGTCTCAATATATTATAAAAGGAAAAGAACCAGTTCTGAAAATATACTGTAATCTGAATTGTCAGCATACCATTGTGCACTGTACTTTGACTTAGACAATTAAAAACCAGCAGACACAAACAATAAGATGTTCTTTTCAGCTCAGTTAAGTACATGTATATATATATATATATATATATAACCTATTTGTTGCCTGTAATAATGGATACCTCATTTCTGCAATGTAATT